AATAACAAATTTAATATATTTATACAAAAATGTTTATTAAATATTTAGATATTATTTTTAATAAAAAAATAAAATGTAGATTAGATGTACATAAGCTGATCATCAAAATCAATAAATAACAGGGTTTTGCATAGAGAGTACATGCCCAAATTAGAGACCTTATTGTAATTTTTGCTTGCCTCACCATGGTCAACATCTCAATAAGTTAACATCTTAGGAACTTTTATATGGTTGGATTAATGAAAGGATCCTTATGGTTTAGAATATTTATAAGAATGTTTTAGAATGTAAAATTTCCCTTGATGGTCTTATACATTAGTTCCTTCATTATAATGATTTTAATATTGAATAATTCCCAGAATTAGGATTAACACAGATTGATTAATTAATAAAAGGTCTATGTTAAATAGGAGATTGCGAAGATAAGTTTAAGTAACTTAAATAATCAATCGAATAATCGAAATCGATTATAAATGAAATACTTAAGAATATAAAGAGTCAACCAAATATAAAGTAAAATGATAATTTATAGATTCCAAACTATAGTATAGAATAATCGAAGCAAAGAATTATATTTAAATCAAATCCATTCATTTTTGACCTTATGAATTAATATTCTATTAAGTAAAATGAATGGTGTTTTGCTATTGCTTTTAATAAAGATTACTCAATCTTAGTAGCTGGATGTAACAAGGATATTAAAGTGTTTCAACATTTATAGGGGGAACTGAATTAAATATAATTCTTAAGTGAGCATAAAAATTATGTAAATACATTAAATTTCATGAAAAATTCAAATAATTTTGTTTCTGGAAGTGATGATAGTTCAATTATAATATGGTAGATGATAGGAAATAATTAATGGTATTGTTCATAAAAATTGAATGGACATACAAATTATCTATTATGTTTATTGGTGAACAATAATGATGATCTAATTATCTCAGGTAATTATGATAATACAATAAAATTTTGGACGAAATAGGTATAATGGTTGTGTTCTTAAACCATAAGTGATCATACTAGTGGTGTATGTTCCTTAAGCTTTAATGAACAATAAAATAAATTGATATCTTGTTCACATGATTCATAAATATTAATTATAGAATAGTAAAAAATGGATAAAAAATGGATTGTTACATAAAAGATAAAATCAGATTAATATGGAATAAGATTATGTTTTATTAATGATAATTAATTTACATTCTAACCCTTTTGTAAAGAATAAATGCATATATATGAAATGGATAGTAATACGAAATAATATGCAAAGACAAAGGAAATTGCTGTAAAGTGTGGTTCAAGTGATGATTGTTGCTTTTTTCCATAATAATATATAAAGTCAAAATGCATTCTTGTGAATAAGAATGGCAATAATGTTAATTTAATAAGTAGGAAAGAAAATGGTGACTATATCATTTAATAATCTATTGAATTTGGTACTTATGGTATTTTTGGATAATTGAGTGATGACGGAGAGTATCTGATCATTTGGAATTATTAATCGAGGGAAATATAAATAAGAAATTTAAGAGAATTATGAGTATTATAATAATATAATTATATTATTTTCAGTATTATATATGTTGAAAAAATTCTCTCGAAATAGAATACTAGCCTTGTTAAAAATCAACATAAATTCTTATTTAATACTAGTTACAATCTTGAATAATCATTTTTTCGTGTAATAAATTATATGCCTTTGGTCAAACTTTTAATTTTAAGTAACTTAAAA